TCTTGTATGAAATGATCTATTACATATAAAAACTCTTCATCTTGATATAGTGACTTCTTCTGTTGTATTTGGTTCTATTTATTAATCTCAAATTAACATGTCATTTATAGAACTTTTCCATTATACTATAAAACTGACTGTTTTCCTTGATGGTCCTGACAGAAGAGAAAATTGAGTTTTAACACATATTTGAAAAGTTGACTTTATAACTCTGCTGTGGTGTCTTATCACTCAGACAGCTTCTGATATATTTTGTGAAGTATAATAGGACCTGAGAATTTAGAGGAGGAGTTTAGTTCACAGTGCACCCTGTTGAAGCCTTCTCTCAAAAATGTTTTTTGATTTCTCTATTGATGAGGAACATCTTTGTGATTTCTTTCTGCAGATTCTATGCAGCACTGTCTTTTATTTTTCTACTCTTTTACCTTAAACTGCTTGTGAAACATTAATGCTACAGTTGCACTATTTTTTCTGTTCAGGAGGTTCCAATTGTGCTGCACATCTGGTTGACCTCTCTAGCTGAAGAAGCTCAGAATTCAAAAGATTGGTTCATCTGAAATTTTTGCTGCTCTTAATAAATAAGGCCTTGAGCATGGCCGGAAGAGAAAGCTCACCCTGAGTGACTTTATTGCAGTCCCATCTTGCAGCTTAGTACCTTCTCCTTGTGCTCTGCAGGAAGTGGGAAATGGGAAATGTCTGGAAGACAGTGAAACAAAGAGGTAAAAGCCCAAGACTTCATTAAGTGAAGTGCTACAGTCCCACTAGAGCCTTTTACTGCTAGTCCTGGTCTCCCGAGTCTTGCTCTTTGCATTACGAGATTGTCAGTGATGATGATGACTAAATAACAAAGCGCTCCCTTGCCAGCAGTAATAAGAAATATCATGCATCCTTTTCCAAGTGTTGTTATGATAAGAAAATGTTTGTTCCCATCAACTCTGACAGATCTTTATAAGTTGTCATGAAAATGTTTCACTGAACTGGACATAGCTTTCATTATCAACATACACCTAATATCTAAGTTGCTGAAACAAACTCTCCCCTTTTATTTGCAAGAAAGGTTTGGGGTTTCATTTCACTTCTACGATGGTAGAATTTAAAAAATTATCAAACAACAATTTATTATGGACAGTCCCAAACTTTGTTGTCTCAGTTGTCAGAAGTAGTGGAGCTGCAGCCTCTCCCAATTTGGTAGGGAACTGGTATGACAGTAAACCCTCAGAGGAGGGTTATGACAGTAAAACCTCAGAGGAGGTTTCAGTCACATTGAGCATACCCCAGCTGCAGCCTCGAGTTCCTCTGCCCTACTAAACTGTTTGTCTGTCTCATAACAATGGAAAAAGTTGAGCCAGCTAATTTTGGGAACCTCTCCCTTCCCTTTAGCTTTCAGGTTTTTAGGCTGGTTTCAGAAGAATCTGAAAATGGTGATGAAATTAGAAATTCATGTGGGAAAATTTCCTGTTGAGAAAAAGAAAATTCTTGTTGAGGAAAACAGCTTCCCTGTAATCAAAATGTTTCTAGCGTAACATTTTGAAGTACTCACGTGCACCTAACTCCAAGTGAAACCATCTTTCACAGAATCTAGGCCAGTTTGGTGGCCACTGATGGACACAGAGATTTTGGATTTGGGCAAACATCAACAGTATGGACTCTTCATATCTGTGCAAAACCAGCCTGTAAGTGTTCACAAGAGCCTGTTTCTTCCCTTTTATTCTGATGATTTCTGTCAAATCAATTACCTGAATCACAGCCTATGTTAGGGATTGCTTTTTCATTTGCACAGAGCTAAAAATTTTGTGGCCTTCCCTGCTTCTTGGGGGCTCTAGTAAACAAAAGAACAGCAGCACTCTGATGTCTCCTCTATTCAGTCCATATTGCTCATGGTATAAAGAAAACAGAACTTAATATGTTTCCTCTGCCATGATAATGAATTATTAGGTTTTTGACTTCTGCCTGTGTTGCCTGCAAGGTGTTATAATTTAGAAGAGAGTAGCAATTTGAGGAGGAAAGACATGCCTTCTACCTCTTTCTTTTCTTTAGATTCTCCTCTCCCTCCGCACCACCCCTGCTAATGTATTCTGTGGGCTTTGGGGATGAGACAAATTACTCTGTGTTGGTGACAAGAGCAATATAAATGAGACTTAGCTGTGCAGGAAGGTCTCTCTGCATAGCCTGATGGTGAAAGCACTTCTTAGTGGGGAAGGAATGGAACTGTATGCTTGGCATCCTGCTTCCAGGGCTCCTTCGGTGGTTTCATGCTGTCACTGTATATAAAATAAAGAGTGAGCCCTGCAGGCAAGAAACATGAGCAGCTCTCCCAGTTTTGTACAAGTGCCATAGGCAATAGACTGTACTCTCATGTTTCTACTTGTGCTCTCTTTTCGACTCGTGAAATACAAATTTTTATTTTTTTGCCTGTGACACAGCTTCAAAGAGAAGCTCTTTCCCTCGGTATCCTAATGGATAGGAAGTGGGAGGAGAAGAATGAATAACTCAGTAGGAAGCAGGAGAGGAAATTGAACTTTATTTCTCTGTTTGTTGTGGGTGTCTTAACCACAGTAATCCATGGAAAGACTAATAATTTTTTTTTTATGTGTAACTCTGTCTATGGTGAATATAACATGTGCACCCTTATCTTTGGGAATATATTTGTGGCCACTGAAGTATTTTGTGGGAGCCCAGACCTGATGGATGTACTCAGAACTTGGGAAAGATGCACATGAAGGCAAATTCTTTATCTAATCCAGTTTAGGCATGAGCTGAACACCAAGCCTTTTAGCATGAGTCTGGTGGCAAAGTGCAGTGGTTGTGTTCATTTATGTTCCAGTATTACATTTTTCAGCCATTTAAGGTGACGATCTGAAAATTTATCCCAAGGGTCAGTTTAAGGAGGGACAGATATCAAACAGCTTCATTCATATCTGTGCTGCAGGCTTTTGTCTTTCAGATAGCTCTAGATGTTTCAAAGCTACATAAAATGCATAATGGCATCCATGACCCAGCATGTGAATTTCCTCAATACCCACTCTGGGCAAGCTCTCTGCTCCTGACACCAGCACATTCTCGTGCCTGGGGAAGTAGCCAGGCAGTGACATTCTGGATGTTAGTGAACCATTAGAGTTTTCTGTCACATTAACCAGGGTTATTGTGACCAGTGGTCTTCTCAAAGAGAGGAAACCCATGGCCAAGGGCCATTTTGAGTAGGTAAGGGTATAGTTTGCACACAGCTGCTCTGTTTCAGAGCCAAGGACACTTTAATGGAGACGATGCTAAGCCAGCTGCCTTCAGTGCTGGGAGTGTGATGGGATACACTCATTTTTTGGTGCAGGTGAAGATCAAAGTTGCAGGAGGGTTTCAGTGAATGTCAGGGCAGAGGTGGCACTAAGAAAATCCTTGTCTTATTTGACAGCTCCATCTTCTGCTTGCTTGCTAATGTCAGGGCATCAGGAAGAAGAGACATTGTCTCTGAAAACTGGTGGTCTGTGAATTTTTTAGCTGTTTTTCTGACCCAGAAGATTTCCACTTGTAATGGGAATGAAAAATTCTCTGGCTCTGGTCGTGGATGTCATAAATGCCTTCCATGTGATAAAGGACTCTCAGTTTGTTGTTGCTAGGCCATAAACTGTAAGTCCTGCCTGTGCCAAAGAGCTTTCAAAATTCCTTATTTACCATCCTGCACATGGGATTTGGGGCACCTCTGTATTGTGCTGTGTGTTTTTTCATTTGTATGTGCTGGGTCAGATGTTTAGCTGATAAAAGTCAGCTATATAAAACTTCACTGATTGCAAAGGAGTTGCACCAAGTTGATGATTCAACTTTTATTAATTTCATTGTTTAGATTTATCATATTTATTAAGCTCAGCATAGAGAATATGGTTTTCATGTCTGCTGTAATGGAGGGGTTTTGTACAGAAAAAATGGATTCTGCTCTCAGTGACACCTTGCCTCATTTTGCAGGTGAAGATTGAATCTGGCCATAATGTGTAAAATGAAATGGTTTATGTGAAATACCCACATATGATAATACTTTGGTTGGTATTCATAGAGCCATGCTTGCTCCATCTGTCTCAGTTATAAATATTGTAAGTGCATATTTCAGTAAATTTTAGGGTTTGTAACAATGTAGTAAAATCAAGTAGATGTTAATAAATTCTAGCAAGCACAGAAATTCAGTTGTTTCTCAGTAGGTTTCTATTTAGCTGCTCAAGATTATCTTGCTACAGCTGCAAAAAATACTGAACTAAGTTTAAACTCCAGCAAATATGCTGCTAAGAAAGTTGATTTTCTATGTTTACAACAGTGGATTGGATTGTCAAAAATGAGTAGCAAATGTGTTTGCAGAAGAATTTTATATCTGGCTTTTTGTTTTTCTTTTTTGTCTAATGTTCAGAAATGCAGAATTACCACATGCTGGTGCAAAGATGAAGGCTGATGCTTTTTAGTTTCCTCCTTTTCCACACGCAACTAAATCCAGACCCAAAATGCCATGAGGACAGTGGGAGGAGAACTATTAGGCTGCTACCATTCCTTTCTGATTTGTAGTTGTCCAAAAGTAACGTAGCAGCTTTTGAAGAGCACAGATGGCTCATTTGGCTGCTGGTTTTGAAGCAGTTTGCTCTGAGGTCTTCCAACATTTTCTGCTGCCTTTCATCCCCTGAGCCTACGTCTGTGGCTCAGGAGCTCCCAGCAGTCTTCCTTAATTCCTGCATTAAGGAACCCCTGGGAACGCGGTGGCCGTGTCTGGGACTTGTCTGGACCTGCTCTGCCCTTTCGGGCTTCTAGGAACAGACTGAGGAACTTGCAGTCGAGTCTAGTTGAGAGTAAATCTTAGTAAACAAAGACATGGGGAAGGGAGGGAGTGTGATGGTGTTTCAGAAGCAATAGCAAGGTTTGCATGGCTTTGCTCGCTCGCTGGTGAAGCCTGGTGCAAATAAGAAAATATCAAGTGTTCATTCCAACCTATAATTAAAAAGTGGATGTTCTGTTTATGTGTTTTCTTACAGCTGGCAGCATTAGAGAGACAAATCTTTGACTTCCTGGGTTTCCAGTGGGCTCCTATCCTTGGCAATTTCCTACAAATAATAGTTGTCATTTTGGGTTTGTTTGGAACCATCCAGTTTAGGCCTCGATATATAGTTGTGGTAAGTCTCATTTATTATATTTCTTTTTGTTTTTCCCCATAAAATCTGTCATATTACAAAGCAGAATTTTCTTGGTTTCAAAACACCAGATGGTATTTCTGTAGAAACTGTACAGGTCTCCATGTCTTTTTGCAAATTTAGGACTACTCAGTGAATTTTTTTTGAGATTTTGGACATTACCAAAAACCGGTAACCTGGAGAAAGTGCTGCCAAAACTATGACACAAATCAATTAGACTGTAAATAAATAAATAAAGTACAAACTGTTCTTTTTGTAACAACCAAGCAGAATTGGTGGTGATTATAAAAAAAATTTGCAATGGCCAAGTTGTATTTGACTACATATTTCTCTTAAGCAGAGAGGAGTAATGATTGTAGAAATTTCTTTGGTCCTGTGACCCATGGGTTCCAAAGAAGTCTCCTTCTCACTTACGTGTAATTTTGTCAAGACCTGTATTTATGGCTTTGACCCTAAATTATTGTAAATTCTCTCTGATGCTTGTAAATTGAAGCTTCTCAGTTGTTGTTTTCCCCATGCTCTCAATATAGCCAGGAATAAAAAGAAATTTCAAAGCTGTGAAGTAAACTGCCAACAGAAAAAAAAAAAAATCTCTGTTCCTCCCTCACGTTCATTTTTGAATGTAAGAATATGATACCCTTACCTGGTAATGGCTGTATTTGGAACATTTTGGTTGCGTTGTCAGTAATGGATTTTAAGAGGCTAAAGTTATTTTTTTCGTCACAAAGGAATGAAATAAATGTCTGCTGGGGGAAACTCATTAAACAAATACTTAAAAAGCTTCATCTTTTCTAGTCAAGCCTGGAATCCTGTAACTCTTTGTCATGTCTTAAAAGAAAAAGTGAACAAAAGTGCATCCAAGATTATACTCATGTTAGCTAAGTTTACAAGCAGACTATAATCAATTGAAAATGGATTGATATAAAAAATAGTTTTTTATCTATTATCTGTGGTTGAAGTACTGGGTGTCCATGAATTGATGACTTACCTTTCTGCTTCATGCTCTCCATTTTATACATAAGAAGTGAGTGTAAGCATCTGTAAAATTATGTGGGAAATTCATGTCTGAAGTGCAACACTACAAAATTTCTTGCCCCTCAGGTTCATCGCTGCTGTTCAATGATGCAAGCTCTGTTTAAATTTTCAAATGAAATGCAACAGATGTTGACTGTTTCTATATCTTTTCCAATGTAATTGAACATTTTGGGCTATACAAAAGTTGTTTTAAAGTAGAGGTAGAAAACTCATAATTAAAGAAACATTTCCCCAGCAAGGTACTTTATGCTGCTTTAGCTGAACTCATATTCTGATTGATCTTTAAGCATATATTTAGGAGCTCTAGCTACAGCAGGTGCCAATACTCATTACTGAGGAAGATCAAGGCTTTAGAGCCCAGCTGGTCAGAGTACAGTGCTAATAATGCCATAGGTCACACGTTTGATCCCTGTATGGGCCATTCTGTTAAGAGCTGGACTTGATGATTCCTGTGGGTCCCTTCCAGCTCAGAATGTTCTGTGATTACCCACTTGTTCATCCCATCACAGAGCAATCTGTGATGTATCCTTACTAATGTAGGGTTTACAGTGAGCAATCTGTGACTGTATCCTTACTAATGTAGGGTTTACAGTGAAGAAGGAGAAGTTTGAGCCAAATCCTGAAATCTGAAGGGAGTCTGTAACACGAGGTGCCTGTAACTGACCTTACACTCAACACCAGCAGAATAGGGTGGCTGACATGTCTTCCTGCTCCCACTGTTCCCTGACTGAACACTTCCCCAGATCCTCTCCCCCACTTCTGGCAGCAGTTAACTGGATCTGTCAGTAAGTCAGTTCCATTTCTAAGCTGTCAGAAAACCAACCTAGAAAAAAGTGAAGATTTTTTTGCTAAACTGGCGACCTGAATCTAGTCTATGATGTTGCAATGGTTGTCAAGGTTGGCATAAGGCAGAAACTAGGACTGTATGTTTATGAACAGCAATGTGGAGGTGGAGGGGAAAGGAGGAGTAGCAAGACTTCTCCTGTTGCTAGCTCCAAACTTGTCAGTTCAGCCTCATGCCTAGCCTTGCCCTCAGGTTGAATTCAGTGAATATCTCAAGCCAGCATAAGCAAAACTCCCTTTGCTCAGCTGCTGCTTTCAGTCCCTGTGCTGTTCCTCTGTTTGCACCAGCACAGGTACCAGTTCAACCACTTGGGAAACTGTCAAACCAGAACAGATCCCGGTTAAAAGTGACTATTCTCACTACTGGTGTTAATTTAATTGTAGGTGAGCTCTTTGATGTGCTTTGCTTGTTACAGGAGATGGGAGAGGGGAAATGGGAAGAATTAGCCAGAGGAAGGAGAAAAGTGCATGGAGTCTTTCCACAGCAGTGCAGGGTTACACCAGCCTAAGTTCTTGTTGAGCATAGCCTGAGGATCTTCCAGTCTATTTCAACACATGCTCCCCAGAAGCTGGGCTTCCTAGGGCTGTGCCAACCACAGTTTAGCTTTGCCCACTGTCCCCAGAAGCCCCAGAAGGAGTCAGTGACACTGACAGTAAAGACCCTTACCAGTGCCAGCTGCACACTGGCTGTATTCACTCAGGCAAAAGTGACAGTCCACCTCTAAACTTTTACTGCTGTCTTTAAAGTCTGTTTAATGCAAACCTTCAGTAGTGTTCTGAATTTCAGTATTAAACACAATGCAGAGAGATTCTTTGCAAGGCTCTGAGTAGTGAACTAGGCTTCAAATTTATGGAGAAGCTTCATGGTCTTCCATGTTCATAGATCCACTTTCAGCCACATCCAAACCCCTGGATTTTTTAGTGGTTAGCATCCCAAGAATTTGGTACTGTGTCTGTGGTGGAAGAAGTATTTTGAGTCATGCTTTTATGTACTTTTAGGTACTTTTCTGATTTAGATTAAGTTTAATCCAGTTTAACTGGAAAACTAACTAATTTTTTCAAGAAAATGATCCTTAGTATCAATTGTCTTTTCCAGAAGACTTCCCTGGAAATCAGCTTCATTAATGCAGATGATCCCATCACAGTATTAAAAAACTGAAGTAAAGAGAGAATCATGTCAGATACAATGGTTTACTTCTGTAAACTGTGTCTACAAAATTAATCTGGCATGTGTGCACACAAATTTTCCTCATGATAGTATGTCATAGTCTGATGGTAATCTTGACTTCAGCTGACCAGCTCTAGAGCCATAGTTTAACATCAAGAGAATGTTTTTAATCTGTCTTCTGTGCAATGAAGTCTGTGCCTGAAGGTTTCCCTGATAAGTGAAGTTACACAAAAGCTTTCACTTTGTCGTCTTCTGCTGTGTATGTCATGTTCAGTCTACTCAAATTCTGAAAAATGTAAGGAATAGGAAAGTAAGTGAATAAATGTAATACATGGTAGGGCTGTAGTTTGAAGCACATCTATACTACAGTCAAATAAGAAAGTGCTTCTGCAGGCACAATTGGGCAGGCTTTTGTTGCAGGTACATAGAGCCAAGAAGTTCAGTGAGGGCTGCAGTAGAAACTGATAAAAAAATAGCAGTTGCATGCTTTTGACCCTTCCACTGCCATTGACCCCAGTATGGCCAGTTTATCACTAGGATTTAGTGACCACATAAGCTGCACCATAGGCATAGTCATTGCAGATTAAAAGTCTGAATAAAGAAGTTTGTTTGAGTGATAAAGAATTTGTCGTGAGAGCTTTCTACCAAAAAAAAGTCTCACTATCTAAGAGCTGCCATGCAGTGGCTGATACATGTTGAATAGAATTCTTATTCCGAGTAGTTAAAGATAGAGGTTCATGTTCACTGTATACAGTTCCTCGGATACAGGACTATATGGGTGGTGATTCTGAAATAAATCTGGAATTTCACTTGCTCATATTTAAAATACCAAGTCCTCAGAGCTTAGGACACAGAGAGAGAGGGAGTGACAACATTGACTCCAAGTGTCCTAATTAGCTTAAATCCAATAATTATTTCTAATAAGTTTTGTATTAATTAGTAATTTAGATAAATGTTGTGAACAATTTGTCCAGTCACTAAGCAGATGTGCTATTTTCCGTATTTGAATATTTTGTGACTGAATTAAATCTGTGCAAAGTTCCCAAGGGGCATAAAAGTGCAGACCTGATTCCTAATTTCCCCACATTAGCTCATTTGAGACTTACCCAAACATTTGCAAAGAAGAAAGAAACAGCTGATTTTCAGTTCTAACTATGCTGTTACACTCTTGTCATGAAGTTCCTGAGCTCTGCTGTGATCTGTTTCCTTGTTCATTCTTTTCCTTTCTTAACAGATCTTGCTATCACCAGCAAGATTTTCAGGTTGTTAAAATTGATTAATGATGATGACAGGATACTTGTTAAAGCTGGGGATCTTCTCCCTCTGCTGCTTCTGATATGGGACTTCAAAAGGCTTCTGAATGATGAGTCATATAGCTAAAATTGCAAAAGCCAGGCTCAAAGCTGAAAAAAAAAAAGTTAATAAATAGTGAAGGATGAAAATAATACATTTAAATAGGGAGAATCTATGGTGGATATCTCTGCTTTACTTGCCTTAATGTATTCCATTAAATAATATGATATATAGGAAATGGATGTAATAGAAAAGCCAGGAAAGAGTTTCTTAAAAAAAAACCCCAAACAAATAAAAAAAACAGAACAACAGAAGAAAGGCTGTTCAGGATGCTTTATTCCATATTCAAGCAAATGTTATACAGACAGTGAAAGCACATGTGAAATATTTAGGCTTCCAACATTACTTGTTGATTATCCTTCCTGGTAAGTCCTGTGTTGTTACTGTTCCATCACGCTGATTTATGTCACTTCCCTTACCATCTTTCATATATATGACTAATAAGGCTCTGCAAGTACTGATGCCAGGTATTACAGGGGAATGATTTGACGACTCAGTAGTTGCTCCTTTCCCTTGAAGTATCCTCGAGCCAACATTCATTCCCTCTAATGCCATGAATGACACTGTCACAGTAGTTGCTGCACTTCAGATTTAAATATACTCTTGAGATAGTTTATGCATTAAAGCTAAACTTATCCCACAATCCTTGTAATATCCAAACTTAGAAAATTCTCTTGTATTTTTTTCCTTAACCAGTTGTTCTTGTGACATTGTGTCCATCCAATGCAATACAAACCTAGAAAAGTTTGTATTTCACTGATATATGGAATGTATCTCTGCATTGGTTTCAATTAGATTCTAGAGTCAAGAGGTTGTAGAGTCAAATCTCACTGTTGTGGAGAGGCTGACATTATGAAAAGGGATATTTATTAGATGTTTAACCTGTAAGGTTTAGTGAGTACTCCCTCCACTTCATTGGTAAGACTTCAAATACTTCCTCATACCTCATAGTATACAATCAATAGTGCAAAAGACCAAGAGAAAGAAAAAAATGTGGTGCATCATGGGGAGAAATAAGCAAGGATTATGGCCTGGTCCTAGGTCCTTCCTCTAGAAGGGAACTGTTACAAAAATGTCCAGGTGATTCTTAAGTTGTGCATCATTTGGGATATAAAATAAAAATACCAACTCTTCTTTTTGATTCAGCCTGTGTGGGAAATTCCTTCTTCTTGCCAGATGTGGTGAGGGTTGTGACACTGACTATGAGGCCAGCTGAGCTGGGGTGCTCAGAATGTGGGTGGCCAAAGAACTAGGCAGGAATTGCTGGGTGTGGGCAAGTGAGAGTGGGCAGACCCAGCAGGATGGACAGGATAATGTTGAGGACACAGAGTGAGAAAGGTTAAATGGCAGGTCAGATCATGAAACAGGTTAGGTGCCTGGGAGGGAAGTGAAACCTGAGGGTCAGTGTGGACCTGATGGTCTCAGACCTTAACCATTCCCACACTGAGAGAAAATTGCCAGCATGCATGACATGTCCCTTCACACAGAGGATGGCAATTTGGACCGTTGCTCTGCTGGCAAAACTAAGAAATCTGCATCATGGATCTAAAAGTAACACTTTTCTTAAGGTGTAACTTGACTGAAGCACGTGTTAGTGTGATGCCACATAATGGAATATTGCTTGGTTTTGTTTTTTTTAAACTAAAAGCTATATACATATAAATTTACTCAATGCATATAATGTCAGAAAGTATTACAATTGTTTAATAAATACTCAAAATGTTAGAAATGTTGCTTTTAAAGCCCTTCTGTGCAGTCTTATTATGATTCTTTTATATATTTGCAGATTTGAACCAAATAGACACCTACTAAATCTTATATTTTTGCCTCAATTTCAGTAGAAAGGATAGACATTTGGGGGTTTTCTGGTGATCACAGATGTAGAATAGAAACCTGACTTTCTTAAAAGAGAAGACGATGGGAAGAGTAAGGCACATGCTACCAAAAAAAAAAAGATTGCTTTTGCTGTGAAGGCTGTGCTCAGCAGCTGAGTTTTATCTCTGCTCTCAACCACTGAAACCTATTTTGACACAAAGTGAGTGACTTTAACAAAACCTGTCACATGCTTTTCTTTCCCCTTGCATTCTGGATTCTTGTCTTGAGACCTTGTGGTCTGATTTGCACAAGTGCTGCATGTTCAGCCACAGGGAGCTGAACACTGGGTTTATAAACTGAGTACATAATCCCAAGCATTCTGAAAAATTAACTCTTAAGGACCTCAAGTTGGATGCTTATAATAATATTCTGAATGTAATCTCTGCATGTCTCAGAATGTCATTTGCATTCTGAGAACTGTATCATTCCCTTATAACATAAAATAAATTAGTTAATGTTTGTGTAGCTCTCACACATTACAGCAATGAGCATCTTAGTGAACCTCATGAGGAAATTAGTATTCTGTCCTCAGAACAGGGTCTGAGCCACAAGGAGAAAAGGAGTATTGAGATAGCTGTTCATAAAATGTGTTGGGGGAGGTAAGATCTTTTAAAATAAAAATATATCTATGATGATTTTACTAATGTTTGGATTGTATTACCACAATACAGACACAAAATAGAAAAATTAAGTTGGCTTGCACAACCCAAATTCTAATATTTCTTAATTTTGTTTTCTTGCCTTTTCTGTCTTATAACCTTTCCTTAAGTACCTAGAAAACTATGCAAGGAAGGAATTTGCTCGTTGAATATCCAATAAGACAATAACTTTCCTACTTAAAAAAATTATGTAGTACTAATTACTAAATATAATGCAATTGTTATGTTTACAGAGCAAAAGGAGCTCAAATTTAGATCTCTGCAGATCAGTGAGAGTGTAGGAAGAGCCTCTCCATACACAGCAGCTGGGTTTCAAGGTGCACACATACTTTGCACCTGCACTTCTCTTTCAGTAATCCTCATGGTGGAGCAGGAACCAAAGTGGTCATAACTGTGTAAAACAGCATAGCCTGGCCTGGGAAAGCAGACTCTGACAGTTTTTGCCTGCACAATGCAGCATCGATGCCCATGGGACAGAATGAGGCCATTAACAGATTTGGTTTGGCCTGGAAGATCAAATAGAATTCCTTTTGTTATGATGACAGATTTAGTTCACAGAGAGATAAAAAATTATTTCTTAAAAATGAGAATACTCCCAAATAGTCTAAATTCTGCTTTTTACATGCAACTGGGATTGTATGAGTTGTTCATTAATTTTGAACTCTCTGCACATAATGTTCTGAATATAAATTTAGAAAATCAGTAGTTGATGATGGCGTCAAGTTACTACAAAGTCAATAAATGTAGTAAAATGTGATATACTCTAGGTTAGTCATATGGACAGTACAGACCTCATATTGCTCACACACCACAACAGGCTTGTCTATTTTATAATATCACAGCCTTCAGCTGCCACACTGCCCTTCTCTATGAGACAGAGGAAAGGGCCCAGGAGTGTTATTCTTGTTTTGGTTCTTAGTGTCCTCCTTCTTGGGCCGTTGCCCAACTGCCTACATACCTCAGAAGAAATTATATTAAAGCAGTTGACCTTTTTGATGTACAGAAATGGCCCTATGCAGGGAGGAGTAATCAAGGAGGGGAAAAAGTTCAACCCTCTTTACCTGAAACTTTAATTGTACATGACAGGAAGAGGAACAAAACCCAAAACTGCCCAAGAAAGCCAAACTGATGGCACCTGTGCAATACATTGTAGTTCAGTGGAGCTTTAATGACTGAAGAAAACAATAGGTGCTAATCCATATCTGGCCACAGCTAATTAGACTTGCAAAGCTCTTAGCAGCAGTTCTCCACTGTGAAGGCTCCACGTGTGTAAATTTGAAGTGGCAGTGCTGCTGCTCGCTGCATTTGTTCCAGTGGATGCAGCTCCAGCATGGCTGCGTGGACACTTGGCCCATCAGGATGAGATGCTCCTGAGGTGGAGTGCCTGGGGAGCTCCTTGGGAATAGGGTACAGCTGTGTGTCAGTAAACAGGGTATCCATAAAGAAATGGTGCCAGTCTGTTGTGCTGACAGGTAAAATGCAAAAGTTGGAGTAGATGAATTAATGTCCCATTCATGCTGTGGGTGCTGTATGAGTTCAGTATGATGCTTGAGAACCCAGGACCAGATTCATGGCAAAAGGCTTGGAGAAGTAGTCAGCTAATTTTAATGTAATAAAGTACATTTTACTGTGAAAGGCTCTCAATAGATCAGATTTACACTTTAACTATTTGCCTAAAAAGAAAAAAAATCTATATTACCAGATCAAGTGATCTTCTGGGTCTTTTGGGGATGGGGTTTTTTCTTGTACCTTTCTTCATAATATTTAAATGTTATTTTAATAATATTTACTTATTTAAGGTTTTATTTGCTTATCTGAAATTTCCTTTAGGAGAGTTAATTTGTGATTTAAAAATTACTCAGATTTGTCCCAAAACCAGTCAGCATTTTGGACTTAATTGATATCAGTAGGACAGTGTAAAACTGCAAAGAATAAATCTGTTTTATTGGTATTTGTTTATTACAGCAATGAATATTGAATTTGTAATTTCCGGTGGTTCTTAGGGGACTTCAGCAGGGGGAGCTTCTTTTCTGAACTCTGCTGTTGGCTGATCCCAGAAGAACAATGCTTATTGATATCAGTTTGTTTATTATTGATCTGCTCAGTATGAAGTCGTTTCATCTTAACGTTTTATTTTTCTCTCTTTTTTGCTGTCATCTGGCTTTGTGTTTAGTACACGGTGTGGACTGCCCTGTGGGTCACCTGGAATGTTTTCATTATCTGCTTCTATTTGGAAGTAGGCGGGCTTTCTAAGGTAGGTCACTTACCCTTCTTCAGATTTATGGGAGGGTGTCTCAACAGCAGGACTCTCAGATTTCAGAAGACTGAAAACACAGAGGGAAAATGTGGTTGTTTGAACATACAATTTGATCTTCAGTTTGCCTCCAACAAGAACTGTAATATTTGAACTTCTCCCTGCTAGTAAATAGCCACAGGTTTGAAGTACATGAATGCAATGAATCTGAATTACAGTTGCCTTCTGAAGTACCATCCCAAGGTGAGAGGTGGGAAGGTATTCAGTTGTAAATGTGAGGTCCTTTTAGATTGTTGAAAAACAGGCAGTGTCATTTTGGTTGAATTTTCAAGTGTGTATAAAAAATGTGAATTTCCAACACGGCTTTGAAAGAAAGTGACTAAGAAGGTTATGTGATAACTTGCTGAACAAATTGATCTCACAGTGAGAATGGTAATTCTTTATAAAAAAAGAACAAGTGTCAAAGGGTGACTTTTGTCACATCTGAATAAAACTTTCCTTTATATGACACTCAGTGTTTTAGGTCACCAATTCTTTATTCAATCCTCTGATTAGAGCAGAAATGTTTGCTGGAATTGCACATCAAGAGATGCATGCTCATTCAAGGTAGCACTTATGTTAGCATAGATTATGCTCAGCATTGTATCTGCAAGGAATTTCACACAACACCTGCTGATTTTTATCCTCCACTTGGACACAGATGATACAGATCTTGGTTAACCACATTTACCACATTTAAATGATTCCAGACACAGTATGCCCATGGCACATGCTGATCCCAGCATTATTAATAAAATAAATGTCACTGTTACTGGTTGCAGATTTAGTGATTTGAACTGCATCACTGTTTATTCATGCAATGCTTTTAGAGAATGCAATCCTGTGCAATGTGCTCTGGGAAGACCCTGCTTGAGCAAGGAGGTTGGACCATATGACCCACTGTGGTCCCTTCCAACCTGACCCATCCTGTGAATTTTTGTTTACTCCACTCAGTTCAGAGTGGAACATTTATGAACTATGTACTTGCTAGGATTAAGCTAGGATTCCTAGCTTTTGGTTAACAGCAAACAGAAAACTTGTGAAACCAATTTAATAAGAAATAAGATTTAATTTACTCAGTAGAAATTCCATTTAAATTTAAACTTTCAATGATAGGTTCCTTTGGTGATAAAATTTCATCATGAAAAGCTGCAACAGTTTATTTTTCCTTCAATTATGTAGCTCATGAGAAGTTACAGGCTTGATAAAGAAATTAGTACACTTCATAGAGGATCAAAATTAATGATCCTCGTGGTATGTTCTGACTTAAAAATCTATTAGATGAAGAGAGGAGCAACACACAGAAATGAAGAATAGCCAAATAACTGTTCATTCTTATGATACAAAGAGGTTGTATACTTTTATTTAGTTGGGTCATGTCTGTTTTTTTAGTGACTATTATATTTTATGTGTAAGTAATATATTTGTCTAAGGGCCTAGGAAGTGAAGCAAAGCTTTTAGTGTGACCCTTGAATTTGTTTGCAAGGGATTCTGCTCATATGCTCAGTTAAGAGGTTTATAAATCAGCAGGTTTGAATTTAAATCCTTCATCTTCCAGTTTCACTTCTGTGTTTCACTTTTTACTCTTACTTAACATGACAAATCACAATGCAGAGAAATAGTAGCAAAAATACTACCTGGCAGTTGACAAAATTCCCTTTTATTAGGGTATGCTTCAGTTAATATCAACATTTTTGTGGAACTTTTGTCTTGTTTACTCCAAGATAATTACATTTAAAAAGTGTTTCTCAGCAAGGTGATAGACACAAAATTACTACTGTGGAAGTTAACTGCTCTTGTATAAATTACACCAAAGGTATGAGTATTGATACCAACTTAGCAATGATAGAATTAGGAAACTTTTTCAGTACATCACCATATTTTGGGTCTATTTGTTTGTCTTTCTGAAAATTTTGCTAGATATGATGAAGCCATTAAGAGACTAAGGTTTTTTTACCCCATATGCATAAAATACTGGATATTTATTATTTGGTTATTATGTCACACCAAATTTAATTGGGACCCATATTTTATCCAAGATGCTAGTTGAAAAAATTCATCATTTCCTCCATGAATATGTTCTGTGTTGTCAGACATGATAGAAAAGTGCTGTTATCAGAGTACATTAGTGTGGCTAGAAAATCAAACACCGTAATAAGATTTCCAAATATGGCTGTTTATTTAGCATTAAAATCTTGGCAGGCAATATTCACTTTTTTTTTTTTTCTTCCTATTGTTCTCTCTTTCCTTTCAAGAAAGAAAAAGAAACTGTATCTCTGAAATGAATACAGATTGATTACAATTTTAAACTTCTGTTGACATTCTATCAGGGAAAATTGTAATGCTGTCTGGCAGGTGACTGATTTCTGTTGGCTTGTTTGTTTTTAAGCAGTTCCATGTTTGCATTTGCTCTGACCAGAATGAGTTAGCTCTTGGTTGACGTCCCATGAGTTTATTAAGTCTTCAATCATGAATGCTTCTGAAAATCTAACTTTGTACAATAATAAATGGTAATTTTAATTCAATATCTGCCCATGGACCATGCATACAATGCAGACAGACTTTTCAAATGTCATAGTGGAAACCTACCACTGCTAAAATTTTGCTCAGATGTTATTTTTGAAGTGGGGAGAAGGATCTCCTTTGAATATTCACTGTTTGAATTCTGCCAGGAAATTCCACTGCAGGTAATGAAAAATTTGAATGAGAATAAAAAGGACATAGGTAATGTAGGCCTGTTTACTGCAAAAGTTTGAAACATTTTCCCTTCAATTACCTTCAATTATAATTTTCTTGATAAACTAAGCACCCTCTAATAGCTACACTATGGTGATTAGGGCAGTCTCCCGGGAAAAGGATGATATAGATTCAAGTCATCTTGGGTGCAAAAGGGAAATAAACACAGCTCTCTCACAGCTGCTGTTGTCAGTAGAAATCAAATGAGCAACTGTTTCCTCTTTAACTGGCTTATAAACAACATAGAGGTCAAGATCCTTCTTCACTTATGTTACAGATGCACAAATAAATTGTAATGCTTTTTTCAGGGCCAAAAAATTTTTATTTGATTAGAAATAAAATAAATATACCTATATACACCTTTTTCATTTGTATTAATTTCTTTTTTCTGTTTTTAGCAGCAGTGAAACTACCCATATGAACTAAATGAATTTTGCATGTCTTCTTTCATTTACTACTTTTCTGAAATTGGAAACATAATTTTTAGTGTTAACCATTCCATATGAGATAAACAAAGCTGTTATTATAACATGACCTTTTAATTCTTCACTGCAGGATGACAGCTTGCTACTTCCATACATAAGCTCATTAATTGTTTTGATCTCATTCTGTCTTGAAATAAAATTAAGTTCTAATTGTCACATTCCAGAGTATAGGCATTAAAGCATGTAGACAAAAACACAAACTGTTTTCCTGAAGTTTTGTATGTGCTCAAACGGACCCCATAATTTCTAATGTGTGTAAGCCAGCCCTCCATCTGCAGCAATAAATGATGTTATGTACTCCTGTACAAAGGAGTCTTCATCTGTTTAGAATGCACAGTTAATAATTCTGTTGTTACATCCCTCAGGTATTTCAGATCCAATATGAAAATAGCTGTATTCATTTGTATTTATCATTTGCTATTCCAAATTTGTTTTTTGATAGACCATTTTTCTACTGCTTTTGTATTTGAGTTGCTGGCATTTCTTTCCATGTGTTAAAACCTTTATTTGGTAAATGCATAGCAGCACTGTGATATTGTGTACACCTTTCCTATTGTTTCATATGCCTTACCTAAGCAGCTGGGAAACATTGATGTGCTCTTTTCTTTTTCTAGGATATTTCTGCTTGTCCTGCATGGCTTTTCCATGACATGCTTCTTTGCTGTGAACTGTTCCTCATTCTGGATTTAAGTTTTGCTCTCAAACTGAGCTCTGTCTCAACAGATACTTCTAATTTTTTGGACAAGGATTTGCCTGACACACACTCATATATTCAGTAGGAAGCTACTTCTAAACAGCTTATGTTTGTTGTCTTGTCCTTAGGTTTACATATTGAGTGAATGTGAGCTCTCTGAGTGCCAGTGGCACCAGCTTCATTAGCCTTTCTCCTGGAGCTGAAGGAAGTTTTGCTTATGTCATTTAGCAAAACAATATTTTTTCATGTGTTTTTTCCTAGTAATATTTACTTTGGTCAATGGATGATCAAAGTTTGTAGGGCTCCCATCCAGCTTTATTAAGCAGGAGACAGAACTGTAGGCCAAATTATTACATGGATCTGTAGTTGGAGGATAGAATTATCTGACAAAAGTAATGATTTCTTCCATCTGAGTAAAAAATGGACTGATCATTTACTTATTAAAATGCTGAGAGACTGGAAACCTAGTGCTTTTTTTCCAAACAAAATGTTGTATGTCAGAATGAGAGTTAATTATGTGAACTTTATACTGGCTACTTGTGAAATCAAATTTATTCCATCTGGTGCATGTCAGTCAATCCTTAATTGCTCTGCAATTACATCTAATCATCTCAAATGGAGTAAGTTAAGCCCAGAACCAATGCTAATTTGTATTAATAGAGATGTTATGGTGTATGCTGGGGCTTGTGTCTTTTTCTTTAATGTGAAATGAGTGCATTGGTTGAATTTACATTAGCAATATGAAAGAAAAAGTGATTCTCTTTCTAACTTGCGCTGATGTAGGTGATAAAACAGACACCATTATTTTGGTTTAATTATCATCGTAACTAGCTCCATAGAATTACCCACTCCAAAAAGCTCAGGGATAAAGTTGGCAGCATCCATAAAACCAATATGGAAAATCAATAGATGGAGGATAAAAGACTTCCTTAGTCTAAACAGAAGATAGGTCATTGTGCATCTACTCACATGTAAGTGACTTTTATGTGGAGGAAGGGTTTTTTTCATATCCACTGGGAAGAAGAGCAAGAAATAATCTGCTGAGC